AATGGAGGTTTCTTGTGAGAGGCCCAGAGAGGTTTGGAAAGGTTCGGAGGGACTGATTAGGATACCTAAGGGTATCAGCTCTGCAGGTGGCTGTGTCACTGATGGGACACTTGGCTGGGGAGAAGAGATTCGAGGAGAGATGATGCTTGGAAGTAAGGCATGTGTATTGCTGGATGGCCAGAATATATCCAAGTTGCTACATTCTCAACAGAAAAGTTTTTGGGTTTATTCACTCCTCTGAATTCACTGAGTCTATGTGTGGAGGAAGCTGCGGTATGATACCTGGAAAAGTTGATAAATATTTTATCAAATTTTTAAAAAATCTCTTTTAAGCCAAATAATAATTAAAAGAAAAAACACAGTTCAAAGCATAACAGCTGGTTTTATGCACTTCTGAAAAAGTGCTAGTTATGATGTCGGAGCAGACAGTTCTATAATGCTACAATCGCTCATGCCCCATTCTCTTTGCCACATTCTCTTTCTGCTCAGCAAAACTTGCGGGTCATCCTTAGAGGCATGAAAGTACACATTTTTTTTGCTTAAGTCATGCTTAATATTTCAGTCTTCTATATTTGGGCAAATGAATCTTACCTGTAAATCAGGATATTCAGAACTGAGGTTAGTAACGTAACTCTGACCCTTTGCTTCTTACTAGCAATAGGAGCTTTATTAATAATTGCACTATAATTTTCTATTACGTTATGCTAGATCCTGTCTTATGACATTTCAGGCCTGATCTAAAGTGTAAATTCTCTTGCAAACCCTCTTAACCCATCTTTCAGCTACCTAGGCCCTTCTAGATGGCCTACCTGACACACCTCTCAGCTCTCATTTCTCAGAACATCTTTTCCTGGAAAACAAAGGTAACTTTGTTTCAAAGATTCCAGTAGGACACCTGTGTTATCCTCCTTTCTCTCTTCCTCTGTTCAGTTCTGTCTGGACCTAAAATAAGTTTCTTCTCATGAAGGGGACTGATATGCTTCTGGGGTGAAATCTAGACACCAGTGATGTCAGTGGAACCTTTTGCTGTTGATTAAAAGGGTGACAGAATTTTATGTCTTTTTTTTTTTTTTTAGTGTGGGTATTAGAAACTATTGGGCTGGACATTGCCAAACTTGTCTTTGGAAAAGTGCCTTGAGATCTTTAATCTCTACACACAGACAACAAACAGTGATTTCAAGTCTGAAACATCTCTCTCACACACACACAGCCTCCCTTCCCCGCTGACTTTATGGGGTTATATCAGATATACATTCTGTCCTCAGTGTACATCTGTAATACTTTAGCTGTGTGCTATTAAGCAGTTGCTCTGCTGGCTACATTTCACTGGTAAAACATCTATAAAATATCTTTAGAGTCTAGCTGTTCTGGATGAAATCTGGAGGTGGAGACAATACTAATATCATTGCTTTGTGTTTAAAGTCTGTCTTCTCTCAGCTGCGGCTCTCCCCTGGCCTGCGGAAGGTGCTGTTTGCCACAGCTCTTGGAACAGTTGCCTTGGCTCTTGCTGCACATCAGCTGAAGCGGCGTCGACGTCGAAAGAAACAGATAGCTCCAGAGAAGTGTGGTCTCAAGCCTGGAGGAGTCCCTGTCCCTGTCCTGTCAACCAGGAAAGTCCCATCTGTGAAAAAAGGTTTGTATCACAAGAGAAAATGGTGGGGAGAAATGATGATGTTTATTGGAGCATTGTTATTTGGGAGGAGGAGACATGGAGGAGGACAGGATCCCAGGTTATGCCAAGCAGATGGCTAGATTGTGTTGGAAGGTAGTTCCTTATACTTTAAAGGAGCAGAATGAGATTGGGAGCCAAAAATAGACAGTGTCCTAATAAAGGTGACAATACAGAATAGATGGTAAAAAGGGCAAGATTACTACCTTAACAGCACAAGCAGTCAAACAGTGGCTATCCATATTCACAGTTGCCATTACTTTTAACAAATAAAGGAAATGCCAGGCCTGTTGTACAATATTTTCACTTGGTAAGGGTGGCTGGCTGCATGCTGTGGCCTGTGTTCTGTCAGTCGCCAAACAGTAAAGAAGACGGTGTAGTTTAGATTCAGTCAAAAGAGTCTGAATGTGAAGTCAGTCCTGTCAGTGACTCGCTCTGTGACCATGGGCCAGTCACCTTGCCTATTATTTGTGGTTTCCCTGTTTGGGGAAAAAAGATAGAGCGTGAAAACTGCCCAGTGGGAAGTTTTTTAGGCTTGATTAATGTGTGCACGGTGTTGTGAAGTTATGGTGCTGTGTAAATATTCTGGGGAAATCAGACAAACTGCTGAATTACCACTGTCCCTGCACTGATGACAGTGACTTGTAGTATTCTGCATAGCATGAAAGGTCTGAGGCACTGATGTTTAATGTTTCTCCAATAATACTTGCATGCTTCCTTTCATCTAGAGAGGTGAGTACATATTTATATCCTCATCTTAGATGGGGAAACTGAGGTACGGAGGATAAGCGACAGCAAGTTAGACAATAGAACCCTAAGTCTCAGCTCTAGTTATTAGAAATATGCTGCCCCCTCCATCTGCTGACTCCTTAACCCAGAAGATCCATGTTCTGTGTCACTAACTAATCACAGTTCCCCATACTATCCAAGGCTGCAATAAAACCATTTTGCTTTGAACCGGATTTATCTGCGACTGCTACCGTTTCACACCCCACTGAGAGCTGATTCTTTTGGAGATGGCACAGCCCTCTCAGCAGCCTGCAGGGGATCTTGCTTCCAGTGGTGCGAACCTGGTTCAGAAAGGGACAGGCAGGAAAGAGCAACACCACATCTGATTTCATAGGCTCCTTTTTTCCCTCAAATGGTGTAAACAGAGCAGGAAGACCTAAAGGTTTGTTTTTGCAACCCTCCTGATTGCAGGATATTCCAGCAGGAGAGTACAAAGTCCAAGCAGCAAGAGCAATGACACGCTTAGCGGGATTTCCTCCATTGAGCCCAGCAAACGCTCTGGTTCCTCCCACAGCCTTGCCTCGGTAAGAAATTTTTCACCGTTGCTGTAGCAGCACAGAGGAAGGAGTCGCATCTACTTATCTACATTTAGTAGGATTATTAGTCAACTGGAATTAATGCTTTCAGGAGCATTGAGCTGCACCCACGTGCATCACTTTTATGCCAAAGCTTTTGATGGATAATGAGATATTGGTACTTTAAAGGTGATTTTTAAAGGCCTGTTTTGTGGTGTTGATCACCCTTCACAACTTCAATTCCAGTAGGAGATTCATGGCTACTGCTTAGAATAGTGATTCTCAACCAGGGTGCAGGGGCACTCTAGGGTGCTGCTAGATCCTTTGAAGGGTGCCTTGAGGCATGGGTGATTAAGCAGATAAACTAAGTAGATAAATGCAGGCCAGATTCTCCACCCCGTCTGCAAGGAGGTGAGCTCTGTAATATATAAATTTGTTTTTAGAGTTGGCTGCTACTCAGTTTCCAAAAGTTATGGAGGGGTGCCTTGAGTCCAAAAAGTTGAGAACCACTGGTCTGGAGACTGGAGCCACAAACAAACTGGGATAGTATTGCAATGATTTTTGGGGTGTTTGCAGTTACTGAAAGGAGAGAGAGAGAGAGCACAAAAGTACTGTTTAGCCAAATATGTGTTTAGTTCAAACCATAAACATTGTCACCTGCAACATTGTGCCTTACACAGAAGTATAGACATTTAGGGCAAATTGCAGGGTAACCCCCTTTCTAATCAGTATTAAAACATCTTATGCCCATGAGTGAGACTTAGTTTTGGGACCTGGTCAAATGTTAACAAATTGGTAGTAGTCTTGACTGGTTCAGATAAAATGGTCCAGTCCCCTTAACACTCCTGAAGCTAGTCTGCTCCGTCTCTAAGCCATTTAAAAAAATAGTCCCCAGTGTTTCTCAGGTGTTGATGGGTTTATAATTAATTAGCTCAGTTGTCTGGATAAGAGTTAATCCTGGCAATATGGGGAGGGGTTTCTTCTCACCCAACTAGTCTCTGAGGAAGAAAAAAAGGGCATCTGGTAAATAGTGTTGGTACTTCCATGGCCTAGACAAATGGGAAATCTTCAGTCATATAACCAGTCCCGTGGGTGGAGAGAGAGGCTGACAGGAGAACTGATTGAGTCAGTAGAGATTGCACACTCAGCTTTTTACCAATTTGCTGCTTGAGGCTTCCCACACTCCAGTTGCATTAGTAGCAGGCATAAGTAACTCCCACACTGCACCCTCATCTGCTTTGACATCTCAGGAAGCTTCTCTGCATTTCCCAACTGCTTTCTTGGGAGCACTAGTGTAGGGTTTGTCCACGCTACAGTTTGGCCAGCATGGCTACATAGGCTCTGGGGGTTGCGCACACATATGGGGGACACATGCACAGGGAGGGTGGGTGGGAATCACACAGACAACCTCTGGTGGAGCTGCAGCTATGGTAACACAGGAACATTTTGGTCAGTTTAGCTTCTGTTATATGGGAAGCCAATGCACGCGCGTGCGCACCCCCCCGTTGGTATACACTGCATCTCCACTAGGGGGCTCTGCCAGCATAATTATGAGGCTGACGCTTGCAGGCTAGACAGCTCTACACTAGCACACTCATGGATGGAGCAGGGGGGTGGTGGGAAGTTTCCTGAAACCTGCAATATAGGCCAGAGCTAGTGCAGGTCTGTAAAGCCCACCTTTTGAATCCATAGACTCCTTTAGTTCTCCTCTCAGCCTCTCCCTTCACTCATAGGGCAAGAGCTGGACATATGGCCACAGCCTCTTCTCTGCCTTCCAGGCCTTGAAACTCTCACCACCACTGAAAGGTCATTCATGGTCTCTCAGAAGTAGCCTCTCCCCATGTTGCTGGAATGCACTGCTTCCCAATTAAGCTACCTAATTTGATGGAATGACTGGGGGTGGGATTTTTTTTTTCATTTGGGACCCATTTTCCAGCTAGATTCATAGATTGTAAGGGGCTGGAAGGGACCTTGCAAGATCATTGGGTCCAGCCTCCTTGCACTTAATCAGGAAAGTCAGCTGGGGTCAGGTGATACTGTTTTGCCACTGACATTCCCCAATAAAAATAGGTGAAAATTCCAAATGTTGGCTTTTCTTAGCGCAAAATTCCTCTTCTCTGCTCGACCTAGTGAGGTGTAAATTAAGGTTTCTAACATCTTTAATTTTTTTTAGACTCAGGAGAATTGGCACTCTAGCAAGGACTCAGTTCCTTTTTGCATTCCATGAGTCAGGATATCCCCCCTAATACAAATGAAGGCCTGCACAGAGATCAAAGGATAAATCTAGCACTTATGCACTTTGATTGTATCTCATTGGTTTCATACTTTAGCTTCATATTATAGCACTACTTGGCTGAGAAGTCTTCCTCCTTGAGAGCTGCTGTTTCTGCCCTTTCTTTTCAGTTCTATCTTGTTTGATCATTTCCTCTGTAGTTTCTTCCCTGACACTTTGTTCCTATTGCCCCTGTTAAAATGATCAGCACTGGCAAAACAGATGGTGCCATTGAGCAAAACCACCTTTAGGTTTTAGAATGAATACCCTATCCAGATGAAGGGGGGGGGGGG